CCCGCCCTACTCCCGCCTGGCTCCCCGTCATGGGCTTTTCCGAGCGAAAAGTAAGTTTTCCGCTTGGCGCTTGCCCTTACTGGGAAGCCTGGCTTTGTAACCGCTTTATCTGGCCGGCCTGCCTGTAGGCGCAACATGGTGCTGAGCGCGGATCAGGTGAACCTCATCGGACAGGTGTTTGAGTCCTACGTGCTGGAGCACCACAGGGACGACATCCTGGGCATCCTGAGGGAGGCCGACGACGAGGCGCACTATCCCGTCGTCGTCGACGCCTTGACGCTCTTTGAGACCAACATGGAGATCGGGGAGTATTTCAATGCCTTCCCCGGCGAGGTCCTCCCGATTTTCGACAGCGCGCTGCGCCGGGCTGCCCTGGCAGCACTGCAGGCTGCCGCGGCCCCTCCGCAGCTCAGCATGAAGCAGAACCTCCACGCCAGGGTCTCGGGTGAGTGGTGGCAGCAAGGCGCCCCGGCGGCATCTCCTAACTATTTTGCTAACAAACTATTGGGGGTCAAGGGAAGGAGCAAGTTTAATTCTTGCTATTTCAGTGTTTAAGCCAATAGCAAATGGCTGGTGTTTATTAAACAGAAAAGATCGCATGCGAACATACGGAGTTGTGTAGACCAACCCGGAAAAAAGCTGTGGCCATCCCTGATGGCGTGCGTGCAATGGTTGGCATTTGTTGCGGGGTCAGGACGTACACCGAAGCCTTTCTGTGGCAAAAAGACTCCTCAAATCAGCAGCTGGTCTCGCATTATTTCTTTTGTTAGCCAGAAGGTCTAAAGAAAAGAAAATTTTAGGGGAAGATATGTAGTTCGTAGACTTTCTTGCAGGTTGACATCTTTACCGTGTCAGTTGGCTCATGGTCTTTATTGACTCCAGCCATCTCCCAGAAGAGGCAAGGTCTAAATTTGGAGTTGTCTTGTAACAATTTAATCTGAAATTGTGAAATTTTATGCTTAAGTGTTATATAATTACTTGTTACAGAATTGGAATGAACTGTTGGAAGGCATGATCGTTAACAGAGGATTTTGTCCTTTTTTTCACTGCAAGTTGATACGCCATTATTCCTTATTACTAGGAAATTTTTAGTAGCTTTGAGGTGTGGTAAGTGTGGAGTGCAGGTTCAGGGTTTAAAATGCCCGTTTTGCCTGTTGTGGGGAACTGGGTCAGCAGTGGCACAGTCCCTTCTGGTCATTGCTGATTGTAACTATTAGGAGCTGTCTAATCTGCAAAGCCAAGAGTTGGTGACCTGTGTTTCCCTCCCCTGCCCCGTGTTGGACTGGTTTGTGATCATTCAATCTTTTGGCAGCTTGAACTTGGATGAATCACAGTTGTTAAATAGACCTGTGTTTTGTCCCAGTAAGTTTCATTAAAAATACTGTAATTAAAACACATATATCAGAAATATAATTAGCCTGTGGGCTCTCATAATGCTATTTTCTCAAGGTTTTTAGGGGGTGGGGGAAAAGGCTTGCTACCTATTTATGTGTTATGGAGCTTGTATACAACTGCTAAGTATGTGGTATAAAAGGATGGCCTCTGTGTTGTACTAAAATTTGAAAGATCAGGCATTTGCCTATACCTATAAAAGTTGGAGTGAATTAAAACATTCCCCCTAGTGTTCTAGGATGCATTTGCATCATTCAGAGCTTCAGCATCAAAACAGAGTTATTTTCACTCCAAGTATGATTATTTTATAAGCTACCAGGAAGTATTAGGAGGAGTAAAGCAAGGGGCAGATGATCGCTGCATGAGTAGCGGTGTCTTTAAGACATTCCTGAAAAAAAAAATCAGCCTGTTGCTGGAGCTGACCTTTCCTCCCACAGTGATGTTTTGTCTGAATATTCCCCAGTCAACGTCAGGCAAAATTAGCCACATTTGATCAAATAGTTTTAATAACTGGTAAAAGCAAGTCTGTCTGATCATTGATGGAAGATGTTAGTCGGCAGACTCACAAATTAATCCATCACTAAACAGGTGGGAAACTGATGAAGAGAGTGGTTATCCTCGTATGGTCCAGCTGGATCAAAAGAACATCTGTCCGTGTAGTTTGGTTTATGTTCCGTATCACCAAAAGGCTGGCTGCTGAAGAAACAAAAGCAGTAAGCTAAATGATCTGTAAGCTTTTTTCTGTGCAAATTTTCCCATGATACTGTTACCTTTTAAGTGGATGCTGGGTTCTGATTATCTTCAGGATTCTTGTCTTGGAGTGCCGCTTCCCATTCCTGTGTCAGACAGGAATGAGGAGAAGGTGGTGCGCTCTTCTTGGTGGGAGCGGCAGGTAACTAACTACCTGGAGTGGGGCCGAGGGCATCCGCGTGTCAGGCTTGGACTGAAGTGAGGAAAAGTGCTTTTGCTTATGCTAGGTATAAGGATGCAATCTTAACGCACTCATACCAATATGGACAGGGCATCTAGGAGTTCAAAGAAGGACTTGGGGAGTGTGAATATGCAGTGATTAATAATGGATGGTTAGCCAGGGTTCACTGAAGAAAGTAAAAGATGAAGTCCTTTATCTGAATTTTAGCATTGTAGGAATTTGATTGTGTAACTTCTCCTTTTGCTACAAATCCATTAGAAGATTTTTCCTTACTTACCGTTAGCCTGAGCACCGCTGTCTGTTACTGATGGCTAAGCTGCTTCTAATAGTTCAGTTTTAGACATTATTACTAATATAGTAAAGCTGATTCAAAGAGGCACATACTCAAATAAAGAGTTTGTCAAGCAGTCCAATACGATCGGAATGAAGGCTCTTTTTTTCCCTGTCCAGAGTCTTGTCCCTTTAGTATTCACAGAGATGGTCATATCATATATCCTGACAACAGTGCTGTAGCTCTCTCTAGTGTAAGATGTGTTGTATTTTGCAAAGGTTGTTGAGCTGCACCAATACTGAGCCGGGAAAAAAGGATGCCAAAACAGTTGGAAAAATAATGGATTTTATCTTTTTTTGCCTGAACTGAATAGAAATGCAAACCTGTGGGAGAAAAAGAATTTTCAGCAGTTTTGGTAGAATATGTAAATAGCTTTGTTACAGTCAATCAGAAAAATTTGTTTGCAGTTCTACATAATACTTTATTTCTTTTGCAGATTATGTAATTCCATTCTACTTCACTTTTTTTTTTTACTTTATTCTTTTACCTTTTAAATTAGCTTAATATTTTAAAATATTTTCTTTAAACAAATGCAAAAGGTCAAACACTTTGCTTAAAAGCATCAAAACAGAATGTTTCAGCATGTCTGAAATAATGCATTTGGTTTTGGAAACACTGCAATAAATATATGATGGGGTTTTTTTAGCAGCCAAGGCTACTAAGAAGATTTGATCTAAATGCACAATAGTTTTGATCCCCTTAAAAACATCATTTTCCAGCAGATTTATTGTTTTACATCTCTGTTTCCTAGCTCTATTTTGGAAATAAAGCTAAGAAATTATTTTAAGAGCAGGTAATTTCTTTTAAAGTTGATAATTATTAGTATCTTGTAGTTCATATACTAACTCCTGAAGAGGCAATATTTTGATGCTATCCTCAGGTGTGCATTTCAGAGACCATTTATTTTTATAAAGACTTTGTAGGCTGTTGAGGTAGATTAATCTTCCTGAGGATTTCAGCTGCTGTGGTGCTAAGTGATGGCCACATGGTGAACGCAGGAGTGGGATCAGTACACTACAGAACTGGCTGTTGGGGTGGAATTAAAGGAGAGCAAGTGCCACGAAAATATTCTGTCACTATTCATTTGAACGTGCAAGTGAATTTGCTTTGGTTGTGTTCATAACCCCTTTATATTCTTTTTATGCTCTCTTCCTTGTGTTTGAGATTTACTGATATGCAATGTGGATTTAAGGTCAAATGCTCACTGACTATGAATTTTAAAGTTGCTTCGACTTGAGAATTCACACAAGATTAAGAGTTACACTTGTTTAAATGTGAGAATAACATTGAACCACAATTAAGTAGCATAACTAAAATTTTGTAATTCAGATAAACCAGTTGTAGAATAAATGGCATTTGCCAAAAGATCGTTTAAATTAATAAATAGATCTGAGAACATCGGGAGCTATTTCCACGAATGGAAACTGCTCATGACTATTCAGCCCTTGGCAAGAGCAGAAAAGTAAAATGGCAACATTTTCTGTTAGTGCTCAGCGTCTGATGTTTTTCACTATCTGAGGCCAGTGAATCAGATTTATAGTACAACAGATGAATTGTTGAATCATGTTTATGAAAAAGTAGTAACAATGGCTCCTGTTAATATGTCTGGCGTTTTTTCTAGTCTTTCTGTTTAACTGCATTGTAAGTCCATGTTTTATATGCATAGCCTTATGCTGCACGTATTTTTGCTTAACAGGTTTGCCTGTTTGCCCAGAGCTGACTCGAGAGCACATTCCTAAAACCAGGGATGTGGGTCACTTTTTGTCTGTTACTGGGACTGTCATACGTACCAGTTTGGTGAAAGTTTTGGAGTTTGAACGGAGTTATATCTGCAATAAGTGCAAGCATGTGTTTGTCGTCAAGGCTGACTTTGAACAGTACTACGCATTCTGTCGTCCATCAGCCTGTCTTAATGAAGAAGGCTGCAACTCAACCAAGTTCACATGTCTCTCTGGAACAACCTCTTCTCCTACCTGCTGCAGAGACTATCAAGAAATCAAAATTCAGGAACAGGTAAAAAAAAAATAAGATGGAGAAAAAAGGGAGGGTATTAAGGTATAGATGTCTCAAGTACAAAAAGAATTAACTTACTAAAGAAGGCATTTGGGGGCTTGATTTCCTGCTGGAATAAGGTAACTCCGCTAATTTTAGTGTAACTGTTCACGCTTATGTCAGAATTAAGTTGTTGATTAGACTTCCATTATTAGGTAATTCCATTCCAGATCATACAAAACACCTGGGATCAATGCATAGGTTAAATTTCCATGCTTAATCCTTATAACACCAAATTTGTGTTGTTTCTCTAAGGACTAAAGTTAGCCCAGTGGTGGCCAAGGCCAGCTGTAGCAGTGCAGTATCGTCAATACATGGTGTCTGCAAATGTCTGTTCCCTTCAGCTAATACTGAATTCAACAATTATTAATATGCGCTCCTCACAGAATTTGCATTCGTTTTTCTGAAAGTAGCCCTGGGTGGAAGTACAGCTAAGCTGGAGGAGTAAGAAATAATTGGGCCTCTTTTTGCAGTAGCACATAGCTAAAACAAAACTGGCACAAGAAAATCTACACTGTATGAAAACTGAGAATAAGTAGGGTGTATTGCAGGCAATGCTTCTGTGTTTATATGTTCAGTGTCTTTTTTGTAAATCTTTTCGAAGACCTCTTCAGTTGTTTCAGGGTTTGGATTTTATAAATTAAGAGTATAGAGGTGCCAATCTACATGCAAGATGTATGAAAACAGAAATGTATGAAATTAGAAATGAAGCTCTTTAAAGTTCAGAATAGCAAAAAAGTAAGGGAATAAAACTACTTCTAGAAAATAAGCCCTATGCTGCATGTTTATATTATGATTGTTTCTGACATATGGTTTCTATAACTTTTTTTTTTTGTTTTACTGTGTGACACACAGATCTCTGTGATGGGAAGGATTTTCAGCAGCATGGGCTTATTAAACACAGAAAAGTTAAAAGGGGAATGAATTTCACTCGTGTTTCCTACGGAGCTCTGCAAGTAACTGTGTATGTGCCACCAGTACTGACAGTAATGTGAACTGCCTGTGGGCATTTAGATAATACACAAGGATGAATTAACCTTCCTAGGCACTACAGAGTGAATAAATCTAGAATTCTAGCACGTATGACCTATGCTGCAGAATGAAAAGGTACTTCTGGTTATTGTTCTTGTGCAGTGGATATTCTAAAAACTATTGTAAGCTTTAAGTGTAAATGGAAGGATTGCTGGTTGGACATAGACTGTGACAAGATTGCATAGACTTTGCCCTGGAGAAGAGAAAAAGAATTACAGGAGTTACTGGAACGTTTGTCAATATACATTTGTCTGGTTGTGTGCGATTTTTTTTTTTCCTGTTGTTGATTTAATCCTTGACACCTAGATGTAATCTTATATCTCAACCTATCAAATTATGGTTAAATACCAGGAAAATATAGAGAATAATCTTTCAGTGTATACTTCAGTGAAGGGTTATCTAACCCATGGACATGCTTCGGTACCCAGTAAACTGTGCATATTGAAGAAGTATCTAAAAATATCTCAAATTATTAAAAAAAAAGAAAAAAATCAGCTTCTTTCAAATGACCTCTTTTAGTGAGCTTTCTTCAGCAAGATATTGAAATCACGCCCCAGGATTGAGCACCTTCAGCTAATTTAATACCCAATCCTGTTTCCAATATAAGCATTAAAGTTCCATTATTAAGTTCATGGCAGCAGTGGCATGTTTACTGTGTAAGTTTTGTGAGAAAAAGCAAGGACTGACCTCAGTTCCGGGAAGGGAATGTAGGTCCTTAAGCCAGAGCAGCTATAAATGGCTTTTGAAAGGTGCTGTTCTTAAGAAGTTCTTTTCCTTCCTGTCTCCTAGGTTCAAAGACTGTCTGTTGGAAGCATCCCTCGTTGCATGGTGGTTGTTCTGGAAGATGACTTAGTGGACAGTTGCAAGTCTGGTGAGGATACAGCATATATTGCATATGTTTGTACCACAAGCATTTTTATTTTTCCATTTGAGATGAATCTTTGCCAAGTAGGCTGTCAGTGCTGAGGGCTTGTTGAATGAGATGTTCATCTGTCACGTTGCTGTTTCAGCTTGGACGTTAGCATGGCCGTTGAAGACTATTCTAGAAAATGTCATACATCCCCATGTTACATCTTGACTGTTTGACAGATCAGTTTCAATAAGTAATGTGTTATGACGTACAGAAAGTATATTAAATCTTGTTAGTGTGGAACACCAAACCTCTTGAGGAAATTAGCTCGCACCATCACACAGTGTGTGGTGTGCCTCTGTAGGTTCGGAGAGCTGGGTAACCTGACCTCCTATCTAAGGAGTGCTGCAGGTGGAAAAAGCTACTTGGCATTCAAGAAGGAAGCTAATTGGCAGGAGGATGTATGAAGAATGGACTAAAAATTCTCAGATAGGCACATTCCCGCAAGAAATTCATTTCTGGTTGTACTTTCTCAGAAGAACACTGTGGCCAGAATGTTAACTACTGATTCTGGAATTCATCACAGCAGTTACCAGAAGTCAAATAAGTTTTGACTAAATTTTTTGAATAGTAAATCTAATTGAAAGAAGAGCTTCTACAGTTTACTGTGAATTCCTCTTTTCTAAAAGAGAAGACAAGCAGAAGTATACCTTTAAGAATTCACCTACCTTAAACAGAAGTAGAAAGACATAGCAACTTCTTGCCATAGACATGAGCAATCTACCTAATGTTTGTTTTAGAGTTCCAGTAACAACAGGAGGTTTGCTTTTTGTTGTTGGGTTTTTTTAACCTTATTAACTGCAACACAGGATCTCAATTGCATTATTATGCATTACAGCTAACTGACACATCTGCACATCTCAAGTCAGATATTATTTTACTAATTTTTGTTGTTACCGCCAGGAGATGACATCACAGTGTACGGAGTGGTAATGCAGAGGTGGAAACCTTTCCACGAGGATGCACGCTGTGGCTTGGAGCTTGTTTTGAAAGCCAACTATGTTAAAGTAAACAATGAGCAGCTAGCAGGGGTTGTAATTGATGAAGAAGTCCGCAAGGAATTTGAAGACTTCTGGGAAAAGCATAGGAATGATCCCTTAGCAGGTTAGTAGTTGAAAGCTTTTAAGTAGGACACGTTTGGATATAGATGAAATCAGGACTGAAAATACAGTGTCTGAACACATTTTTCCCCCCTTATCCTATCGCACCACCCATTCCTCCAAAAATTTTTTTTTTCCAGTACAGGAATATGAAATTCTTTCTTTAATATTACTGGGGAAAAAAGTACCAAACATACTGCATTGATCTTCCTTCTTTTGAGCTTTCTAGTCAAGTGTTTCGTGGAACGTTTATTAACAAGAAATGAGAGATAATAGCAGTATCAGGGAAAAAAAGAAAAGCATTTTATAATCAAGAAAGGAAAAGCGTACCTCTTAGAAGAAATAGCGTGGACCAGATCTGCTTTTAGTCAGCATAGCTGTTGATTCTGGGGCAAGAGATCTGACTCACTGTCTCTGCATCCCAAATTAAGCTGTGAATCTTCACCACAGAGCTTAGCACATCTCATCTTTAACCTTGGATGCCTAGACCCTTGATTTAGGTGCTGTGGAGCCTCCTATCAAACGTGGAGAGAGTCTCCCAATTAACAGTGACTTCCAGAACAGTCAGAGTGCTTAGTATACTGGCTCCTAAACTTATCATGGTCTGCAGTCAACCGCCTAGGAATTAGCAGGAGTTGTGTCTGGAACTCCATCCCGCTCCATAATCTGAGTGCCTCCTCCTGAACTGCGGCGAAGCTCAATGGACTCTTATCCTTAAGAGTCTGTCACTGAACTGTCTCAGGCTAACACTCTGTCTTTTAAAACCCTGAAAAGGGCTTAGTCTTTCTTCTTAAAAGACAAACAGGAGGAAAAGCAGGTGAGGATGTTGCCCATGTCAGCTTAAAAATTAGAGTGCTCACATAAGAAATTGGAGATTTTGTCAATTACAAAGATTGTTCAGAACTGCATTTCCTGGAAAGCAATTTAATTGCTAGCCTCCTGCTGTTTGGAACGAGAACATTTCTTCCTCCTGATGTTTGGAACGAGAACATGTCTTATCACCCTGGTTAGAACTGTTCAGAAAGTAATTCAGGATCCTCTTTGAAGGTCCCATTTAATCTTTCATTCTCAGGACAATTTTTGGAAGCCTGCAGGGAGAAGTGTGTTTTTATGCAATATTACCTGTTTGGAATAAATGGATTAATATGAAGTGGCTACAAGAAAATTGAGGTTGAAATTAGAAGGACCCAGACTGCCCAAGATGTCTGTTTGAGGCCATTTGTCTGAATTTGAGTCCCCTCAGATGAGGGCAGAGATCAAATTTAACTGAGGAGTCTAAGGTATAGGCCATTTCACAACAGGATGTATGTACATTTACTGTTTTTCAAGAGATAATGGTAGTTACTACTGCATCTTATGTCAGTCAATTCCTGATGCTGTATATTCGGTGTCCTGAAAAAGTCTACCATGGCAGACCTCTGAGAGAACTTATGCAGGTGACTATTTTTTCCGAATACTCTCTAGGAAGAAGCAGAACTGCTGAGCTGCTCAGCACTGACAAGGCAAATGCATCTGAAATCAACTAGAGGCAACTGTGGAGTTAGATCTTGAGTTATGCTATGGCTGACGAAAGTTTTTAAAATTTCATTTTTGGACAAAGATGTGTTAATACCCTCAGAAGATCTCCACAAGAAACACATATGCCTCAAGTCATCTATTAGGTGCCTACATATTTTGCCAGTACCATGTACTTATATCTAAATTTAAAACATTAAGTTAAGAACTCAAAATTAGTCACTGTTTTATTTCCTAGCAATGGGAGTAATGTGCAGCATTAAACCTGTGATCCCTTATGTGCTGTCAGTATCAGAATCTCAAAGGACAGAATTAATTCTGTTACACACCTTCCAAGCCAACAACATTATCATAACAGATTGAAATATTCTGTTGCTGGAAAGGGACTATGTTAGGGAGGAGGAGAGGGTCAAAGGAGACCTTTGACAGAGAAGGGTCAAAGGAGGAGGAGATTCAAGACAAGAAAAAATGAGCCATGCTATGGGTGCACAAGTTTAGGGCAAAATACTTAAAGTGTTAGATGTTTTCTTAGTTTTCTTAAGTGTACAACACACCAGTTTTCAAGGGGGCATTTTGAAGTCTGGAAACTTTTAAGTTTTATTCTTCATAGCCCCTATACTTTAATCTGTGAAACAAAAGAATTTGCCTGATGGCATTTCGTTAATGCCTTTTGTTATGATATCCAGACCATACATTCATTAAATTGTGATAGGATTGGCTTTGCTGCTTTTGACCATGGAAGACTTAACTTTTTTTATAATGAAGGGAGTTTAGATCAAACAACTGCTTTGGGTCCCATTTAAAAAATAAAATAATAAAAAAACATCTCCTCCCTGCCCTGTTCCTCTTGTTCAGGAAGCAGACCCAAATTATTTGTGAGAGAACATAGGACTGTGGACGTAAGACAATTATTTGTCAGTGTACACAGGACTTTAAGTGTACATAGGAGACCATGGGAAACCAAGTTTTACTCTTATGGCTGAGTGCCATTTTTTGCTCCTGTTCTAGGGAGGAATGAAATTTTGGCTAGCTTATGTCCTCAAGTTTTTGGATTGTACGTGGTGAAGTTGGCAGTAGCCATGGTGCTTGCTGGTGGTGTACAGAGGACTGATGCTACTGGAACTCGAATCAGAGGTTAGTATTGTTTCTAATCATCAACATCCTTTCTAACAGTTGTTCCCATCCCTGTCTTCACCCGCATCCTTCCTCCCTCCAATATCAAACCAGTAAGGTTTCAGAGGCATAATGATCCCATTTTCTTGAGTGAGGGCAATTTCTGATTAATGCTGAGTATTCTTCCAGAATCTCAGACAAATAAAGTGGGTGTCTACACTTCCTCTTTTTATTTTATTTTTTCCCAAATAAAAGCAGGCATTCAGGATTCCATTAGGTAGAATATGAAAGGCAGTTGTTTTAGATAAAACGTAAACTCACTTTTTATTGTATAAGTGACGTTTTGAAATGATTTCTAGTAGAATATTCCCAGCAGTATTTAGCATCAAAGGATAGAATATTAATGTTTCCTTAATGTGGATCACTATAGTACATTGAAAGGAAAAATTAAAGGATTCATTTTACTTCCTAATGCCAGACTTTTCCATCTGTGATTGTCAGCACATCTCACTTAGTTTTGTTACTGTACGTTATCTGCCTGCTGATTCTCCTTCTGTTGTTATTAGATGGCAAATATGCCATGTGCCAGGTGGTGCGCAGGTCATAATCTATGTAGGTCATAATAATTCTAAAATAATATGCTTGTATATACAAATACAGGATTTTCTTAATGCTCCAGCAGCCAAATAAGGTCATAGACTTTATATTTGAATTGAAGTTGTATTATGTTTTGTAGAAGACAATGAAATAATTTTAGAGCACTTCAGTGAGATTGCAGTAGCCAAATGATTTACTTCCGTAATTGTATTGTTTTGATAATACTAAATTGTGTTATTGTTGGCAATGTAACAGAAGTAGTTAAGAAAAACAAGCTGCTGATTTTATTAGTACTTTTCACAATAATTTAAGTAACTGAATAGTGGAATGATAACTAAACCCTGGTATCCTTCTGTTTCATGTTCAAGAGTGAGTTGAGTCTGAGAAAGGAGTATTCTAAAATGTAAGAACTCACATTATGGGAATTATGTCAAATACCTGCTAATAGTTTTAAAATATTAAAATATTTTACATATTTGGTTTGGGTGCAGCGATATGACTGGATGCTTTTATTAAACAATGTATTTATCACACCAAATAAATAGTGCAGTCTTAAACAGAATTACATATTGCAATGTATATGTAGTACTAAACGTTAGGTGAATAATGAGAAGTATTATTTAATTCAGAGCATTTTGTGTATATCTTTCTCTGTATATGAACCGTCTACTCCTACCTCAATGTTTCCCCCCAAGGTGAATCGCATCTTTTGTTGGTTGGAGACCCAGGTACGGGGAAATCTCAGTTTCTCAAGTATGCAGTAAAGATTATACCACGGTCTGTGCTTACTGCGGGAATTGGATCTACAAGTGCAGGTATGTGCTTCTTCAGCTGGAACGCTTTACTTTTTTTGCTGGAGTGTGTTTATATAGAGGCCTTCTGCATACATGAACATATGTGCTCAGGTTGTATGAGCACAGTTGAAGCAAAGAACTGCTGTGGAGGCATATGAGACTTGACATGAGACTCTGCAAAGGGCAGTCCTGCCCCTTTTCTGTATCAGTGGAGCAGTGTGATGAGTTTCTAACAGGGAATCTTATAAGCCTTATCCAGAGGCACCTCTTGCTGCTTTGCTAGCAGAGGATGATCTGGACCATGTTTAGTGTTCTTCCCAGTTATGACAAATCTGACATCTTTCCAGAGCTCACACTGTGTGATGGGCTACCGTCATTTGGTTTTTCCTGAACAGATACTCTCCTCTCTTTTATTCTTCTATATGTTCTGGCTGGGTGCCAGTTTGATTTCTGCTTACTTTCTGGAAATTCACCCCTGTGCTGAGGAATTATTTCTGACTCATAAAGACAGTTTCAAGAAGGTTTCAGAGAGCAAGCTGCTTTTTGTTTGTTTGTTTGTTTGTTTGTTTGTTTGTTAAATTCGGGTATATCCCAGCTGGCTCTGAATGCCAGGTATCTTTACAAACTCTTCTGGGGACAATGTGCAGGGTCAGATTACCTCTGCAAATGACTTTATTTGAGCAAATGACTATATTACTAGTACATTCAAAATCGCAAAATACTTAGGGACAAACCCCAATGTCTCAGCTAGCATGTGTAAATTGAATGTTTCTCAGATAGTGCTGCTTTTCATTTTACATCTGAGAAACACCATTATTTATACATGGGAAAACCAGAGAATAAATCTTTCCCAGTTCCATAGCTACGTGTACATGTGTATACTGGGTTTTCCGTAGCTGTGGAAGTGGAAGGTGGTGTTGAACATATACACTCTTGTGTGCAGGGAACTTGTTATGAAACATGTATACCTCAGGTTTTCCATTCAAACTGTCGACAAATAGGTCTGGAGAGAAGCCAGAGAGAACATTTTGGCTCAGCATTACCTTTTCTCCACTTTTTGTTCTGTGTTAAGAACTGAGAACAGGCTGGATAATTTAAATTTTGCTGGGGGACTGACAGTGACCTTGAGTGAAATTTTGCCATGCATTTCAATGTGACCTTGCCCACTTTTGTCCATAGTAATCTCCCTGTGTCAGCTGCTCTTGGCCTCTGATGTTGCTGTTACCTTCTTCACCACATCTCCCCTGTGTGCTTCATTTTCTGTATGATCTGGTTTCCAGCGCAGCCATGATAGCTAGGTTCAAAGCCATTTCCCTGAAAACCAGTATTGCAGTTTACAAGCTTACTTCTATGTGTGCCATAGAATCAGCTGTGATGATGTGTGGAGGTGGAGTTTCATCTTGTGAAAGGATTGTCTTGGGTCTTTACATCATGTACATTTCACTTAAATATTCCTCATATTTTAAAAAGCTTCTCCCTCTCCCTGCCCCCCAGCTCCTTCCTGAAATCTGACAGCAGGTGCGCCAAATTTCCACCTTAAAATTCTTTAGGACCCTTATCACAAGTGAAACTTGAGTCCCTAGCAAGAAATCTTACTAACTCTAGTTTAATTTCAGGGAACCTTTCCATGGCTAGAACTGCTGGACTAAAGCGTTAATTTCTAGCCCAGGAGTTTGGATGTAGTTTGAATTACTTTCTTTGCCTTCCCTATGCACGGAGTGTCTTACTTATGAATATGTTTATGTCCTGGTTTCGGTTGGGATAGAGTT